TCATATTCACAATTATGCAACATAGACTCGGAATTTATTAAACCTTAAAGGTCGACTACTTTGAGAAGATACCCAAGTAAAGGACGTTGTCGGGTGTATCGGCAAATTAATGACTTTCGTAATATTCTGTGGAGAGAGTTTGGAAGAGGAGCTTTAATATAGTTAGTTAATATTTAAGATTAATTTCTTCGAGGGAGGGAACGTGAAAGATATTGCTGAATCAGCCTTTATTTACTTTAATGAAGGAAAATGCGAATATGCGATGATTTATTCCCCGAAATCCCACACAAAATTGAATGCGCATCTTCTCGCCGTTGAGAACCAGAAGTTATTCATTAAAATGCCTAAGGAACCTAGAGGATCGAATACATTTTAATTCGAATCAATGACCAAACTTTCGAATTATATTTTTTTTCATTTCGAGGGGCACTTGATAAGGGCGAGTATATTAAGCATAAATTTTGAAAGAGGGGAGTTCTGCGTACTACATTGGCACCACTGATAAAAAATTCATGACGTTGAAGGACAACGATCTTTTCTCATGTCAAAGTGAGACATGTGTTGCCATCATACCATGAACTATTTTAGAGAGTATAGGCGGAGTTTTTTACTCGCCGAGCATGAAAAAAGTATTCCCAAAAAAGAATTTGACAACTTACCCCGACAAGAGTTCAAGCGTCGTGCTTTGCAAAATATTTACCGCTAAACGTGGAATTTCGACCTTTCCAGTGGCAAACAAAAATAAAATCATTGACTGCGTTTCTTGTGACTATTGCAAAGCAAGCAGACCATGAAACTGGCTGCTGAACCAATCAATACAACGCACAGTATTATAGAGCTTCACCAGCACAGCTGTTTTTGACACAGGGACTTGATTATTCCACCAGACCTTTCGGCAGCTGATACGAAGCTCTTTAAAGCGTGTCAGAAGAAAAGCGTCTGTATGAAAAACACTCCGTTGGAAAACCTTCCCGAGGACGAAAAGTGCCACACAAAAAAAAACATTCCCATTCAAATTCACATTTCAAATGCTCATTAATATTGCCCCGGATCAGATTCTGTATTTTTCTCTATTGGATCGTGATAAACAAATACTGTACTAGAGTATTTCCCGCAAATTCTTCTTGGTGTTATCAAGCATAGAATAATATGTTGCATGTGCAGCTAAACGTGGGTCGAAAAGTTTGACTCCGGAAAACCAGTAAAAAAGCATACTAAAAGACTGTGTTTTCTTTGCACGTTTAGACGTAAAGTTCGGAGGGTTAAAACAAGCGCTTAAAAGAGGTTTTCTAATTTTAAGTGCGAGTTCTGAAAAAAAAATCTGGTTGGCTCTGATCTGGTCTTCAACTCCCCAAAATATCCCATCAGAAAGGCGGAAAATAAAGAAGACGTATACAGAAGGATAACGAACAGCATGTCCGAGAAAAAAAGCATTGTACCGGATGTTCTCAGGAATATGCTGAATGTGCGGATCTTTGGGGAGATTGTAAAAACATTGGTAAGCGTATTTTAGAAATGCTGACCACACTGGTTCTCACGAATTTCTGCACAGAAAAAAATCGACCAAGACGGACACTCGCCAGAAGTACCACAGTCGTATATTCAACGAAACGTTGAGATTCAACTTCAAGGATCCAATAAAGAATATTATTACCATCATATGCCAGGACAGATTTTCTGTTCACTCGGATATCTGAGGCAAGTACTCAAATTTCGGCCAAAAAAGCTTTGAAATTCGCGTAAAAAAGAATCGTTCTTGCCGTGGTTCAAAGATTTACGCACATTTAATATATTCGTACCACGGGGAACCAGCGTGGAAATTATAATAAAAAACAAGAATTAAATTGAAAATTCAAAGTAAAAAAAAAAAACAGACAGCGTTGCATTCTCAATTGATTTCCGTAACCTAACCGATTCATTTTACGGTAAATTAATAATTACTGCTCTACTACGGCAAAATTCCTACATTAAGCAATTCCGTTAAATTTTACACAGCACTTGATCCACTGAAGTGGCTTATCTAAAAAAGGAGCTTGACTCCGGAAAACCAGATAAAAAAAGAGGATACTAAAAGACTGTGTTTTCTTTGCGCGTTTAGGCGTAATCAAGCCTCCGAATTTTGTTCGCGAATTTTCTCCAGAAGATTAAAATTCGCGAAGTTCTGGAAAAAAAAAACCTGGTTGGCTCTCTTTTCAGTTTGAGAAGCCGAAAAGTCCAGCAGCTCTTGGATAAGCTTGCGTATGAATAGAACTAAATTTAATGTAAAATTGTACAATGTATTATTCACTCCATGTCTCTTGAGATGTTGAGAATGCTGACGTCATTTCTTCGTTCGAGTACGGAAAGAAAAAGGCTTTCGATTATTCAAAAGACGAGTCCTTCGAGATTCTACCTATCTTTCACTCAAACTTTAAGCTAATGCGCAAGTCATCAAGGACCTTTTTTTGCTGCTAACCTACCCAAAGTGCTCCGTTATCCACTCGTTCCAAAATCCTATAGGCCAGTGCTTTACCTGAAGCACGCAAGCAGACTCCGAAGCGATAATACTTCCGCTTCAGCCACTTCCGGTCAGTACAGTTGAGTTTACAGCTGCTTTATCCCCACCAATATCGCCAAAGACAATCATTTTTGAAGAACGGTACACCACCTTTTGAAGGGGCTTAGAAAATAATTCGAAGCCTCATACCATCTGTAATAATCTGAAATTCGTCATAATTGCTAATAAGCATTACGATAAAACTGCTTGCTAAAATGTAAAAATATCGAAATAAAGATTATCTCATCCTCAGTAGTGCAAAAGATAACAAAGAAAGCGTATTTCTCGGGAAGTGTCCGATTTTCCGAACATTTCGTTCCGTGTATGTATTCCCTAACGAACAATTTCCCTGAAGTTGAAATTGAATTCCAGTAATGGGCATCATTCGTTTTACCGTAGTATCTGATATTACTGTTTGAACCTGAAATCGTGCTATTTATAGGCGATGTTGTTCATGCTTTTCAGAACGGGCAATTGCTTTCCTTTTCAGAGCATCAAGTGCGTTTTTTTTCAATTTTTTAAAAGTCAGCCCCGTCTTCAACTGCTTTTTTTTTTTAGCAAATTAAATGAATGGTATCCCAGTGTATACCCAAGTATACTTGAGTGCAGTTGACATAAACTGAAAGACGCACGAGAAAAAAAGTTTATTTTTCCACCGAGGCCATTTTCATGATTTGGCATATGGCTCAAGTGCTGCGAAATACGGAAAATTCTGATGCCCGCAAATTTGCAGTAGTCATTCTGAATTTGTCATAGTTCGCCCTGATATTTCAGTTTGTGGACACTTTGAAACTCAAACGAATTTGCCCCAACGCCCGGAAAATGTCAAAAGATATACTGTGGCGCCGCAACTATTCACAATCATGTGACCTGAGCATGTCTTGCACACTTGGGCACGTTGACAAGAACCGTACATGGGTATGGCGTGGCACGCGCCCGGTATGTTGTAACACAGACTACCGGGTCAGAGATTTCAATCAAGAAAGGAGGAGGAAGGTTTGAAGAGAGTGGCATGGGCTCCAAAGCCCACAGAACGACATGTGCTGCGATTTGTAGCAGAACTCTCTTGTGTTGTCTGTTTGCCTGAGAGAATTTACTTGTCTTGCGAATTCTGTATCAAAGTTCTAAGTCTGAAAGTGTGTGTGTCTGTGATCTAGATTAAAGGAAGCAACTTCTTGGGACTCCCTTCTGGAGGATCCGGCCGGTAAAGGCTGAATCTGTCTTTCATTTCTATTTTGAAACCCTTGTCGTTTTCAACCCGACATATACAGTATACGGACAGTTTGCCAACATTTTCAAAAAATCAATGAATTTAATCTGTTACAATTTTGACACGTCTCAATAAAACTGAACTACAGTTGGACTCTCTCTACAAAAAAATTCAAGGGACCAGAAAAAAACATTGTAGAGAGAAATTTGTTTTAGAGAACCCCTTTAACATGGTGGGGAGAGAAACCACCTAAGGGACCAAAAAAAATTTTTTTTTAAGAGAAAATCATTGTATAGGCAAGTATTCTACCAGGTATGCATATTTACAAAAATTAAAAATAAATATTTTCATCAATTTACTCCAATAAGTTATAATCAAAACATATTATTATTGCGCTTCTTTTTTTCCATCAACTCTGTGCCCAGGGCAGCTTGTTCATCACTTTTTGGGCTTCTTTATGTGCCAACAGGTTGGATTCTGCTTCGTTTTCTTCTGTAGTTAATTTCTGTATCTTGAAGTTGAAAACACATTTTTCAATTTTTTGGGGAATTTTTTCTTAACTTTTGATGAACAGGAGAACCAATCAAATATTTTCTCATTGAAGTCTATGCAAAAACGTGACCTGACATAATAGAACTGTTTTGACATGGGGACAATGTCCAAGCACCAATTATGACTGCTATTGGCCCCATTGCAATACAGTCAGACCCCAAAATGCAGACACCCTGACATACAGACAATTTGACTTGGGGAAAAATTGGGGCAACATCTAGACAATATTTCAACAAACAGACACTTTTTCAGCATATATGTAGAAAATTGGCACATTTTCATTTTTCAAAATGTGAATATCCTCTTGAAAAATTGAGCTATTATATTCACAGAAATTAAAACTGAATATCATCATATATTTACTTGAATTTTTACTCAAAAACAGGTCAATTTTGTGCTAATTGCTTTAGCATTCTCTATAATCAATACACAGGATAGCAAGACACGCTTTTCGTTCATATTTTTTAGAACTTTTCATGCCAGAGGATCATCTTCTGTGTGGGCTTCCTTATTATGAATAGTTTTACAGCGTTTCATGCATCTTTAAGCTGAGACACATTTTATTCCATTTTTAGTGGATTTTTTTCCGAATTTTCCATGAATATTAGAGAACCAATTAAATGAGATCCGGTGGAAATCTATGGGAAAACAAGGTCTGGCATATGCGGAAATTCGGGCATAGGGACACTTTTAAAGCACCAATTACTTTCGCATCTCCCACGGTATAAACATGTTTGCCCAACTTGGATCCCATTCAGGATGAATTTGCTGATAATTGATGGTAGGCTGAAAACAATAAAAGGCTAATAAAATATTTTTTACAAATGCTGACCTGTAGACTCGTTGTCCATTGAGTTCGGAAATGGTCGCATTGTAAGTGTCTATTTCGTACTGGCGAGACCCGGCGTCGAATTTGCCCACGTCCTGCCCGTGGTCCAAATAGCTTAACCGGAAGGAGTCCGACACTTCCTGCATCGTGTCAGTGCCGAAAACCTGATCAGCACCGGCCAATATGCCGTGATGGTCATCTCCGGGAACCACAGTTTCGTCCAAATCCGCAAAATGCTTATTGCTCGTGGCCTCGGGTTTATTCTGATTCCCACTCGTGGTCGGGCCACTTCCAGGAGGCGAAGTCGATGTTGGCTGCAAATTTCTCGGCATTGCGTGTCTCCCGTAGAAACTTTCGTCTTTGAGTAAAGAGCGAAACGAGCAATTGAAAAAATTACGACTTATATATATAGGCTGCATCGGTATTCAGTCAGCGTTTTTAGGAAGTTTCCAACGACCATTGGAACTTGGCCATACATGAAGGTGATGGGAATGCAAGGAATTCGATTATGGCCAATCATCATCATGAACTTATTTGTTGGCAATGTCTCGAAACGCAGCGATTAACTTTATCCATCGTTTTCATCGAATTACAGGATTCAAACAAACTGAGATTCTGACTCTGTCATTTAAAGCATGGAAAAGAGGGATAGAATAAGTTTCCAAGTGTTCAAAAATACCGTGGATTCGAGCCTCATTAAATTTCCTTAAAAATCAATTCAATGTACGGTATCATTGCTCGGTTGCTGAAACTCCGAGGCAAAAAGCAAGTCCTCGTATGAATTCCCAAATTCACATTCTGATGCTCATCTTTCTGAATTTTGAAGATTGAGATCCTGGGTGAACTCAACATGAATAGGGAAAAATTGTTCAGTGTGTCATCAACACAATACAACCATTTTCTCCGTGATCTCAAAATGGGAATAATCGGGAAATTGATAAATTGTTTCGGGTTTGTTGTTTTGTATTATCTTTCTTCCAAACATGCAGATAGCAAGATAAAAATAGCAGACTTCATTACAACTTCTGATCATGCGAAAAATTTCCCGTGGTCTGGCAAAAAAACCTCTGCGGACCAGCGCCGGTCCGCGGACCCCGCGATGGGGAACACTGTTTTAGAGTCCGTTTCAGTTTGACTTATAAGAGGCTCAACTGTACGGTACTTTTCAAAAATATTTTCTGTTCAAAATTGTAACAAAATTACATTTTCAACGTACCTGTGGGTTTCAAAGAAGTTCCAGAAACAGCAGCTCCCACCGAGGTAGACCCAGTCGCAGTCGGAATCCGTCGCATCAGAGTTGCTTGCACTCGGCGAAACTGTTTCTTGTATTGCAGGAGGACTAAAGGGTCAAACAGGAGCTGTAAGTCTTAGTACCAAAAGTCGTGTAAGTTGACCAGCCATTCGTCCCAGAGGTAGTAACGGTCGGACGAAAGGTTCAGGAGACGTTAGTAATTGTTTTTAGACTCCGAAAAACGCTGCGTAAAGTTCGGGTGTGCACCCCCATGTCTCATTTGAAAAGTAGAGCACGGCTCCAACTGTGTACGCAGTACGAAGCGTCATACCCAAATTACAGTGTCTTTGTAGATCTTTCGATCACATCACATCTTATAGAAAGGCGTGTTTAACACAAGTAAATAGAAGCGCATATATACTTCAAACGACCCGCGAATGAGTTCATTACTTTACTTTTCTGTAGAGAACGCCATCAAAAAGCTTTGGGAAAACCAGTTCTGTTTATTTTCATTTCATATACATACGCGACTCTAAACTTCTTGCTTTTGTGATTGTTTTTTAACGCTTATTTCTAGGGAAAACAGGGGATAAAGGCCACTGTGAGAGAGATATAGATGTTGAAATTCCTAGCGAGACTTCCTTGGAGTTCTATAGCAATGAAGCTAAAAATTGAACCAATCCTTTTCTATCGAGAATATGAACAGCATCTGACTTGACTATTGTAGCTCTTGTAAAAACTGGGGAGAATCTTTGTCAAAGCGTAAGCTGACATCACAAGTACAGAATTGTAAGCCAAACATCTTCATACGCGTTTTTCCTGTTCCGTTCTCATTACGCCCCCGCATATGTCCCGATTCCCGAATCATCTGTGATTACTTTCCTTTGCATAGGTGTCGCCTGCATTTCATTATTCTTTCTTTTTACTGATCGGGTCATCAGAAGGATTATAAAATCGGTTGATATGACTGAATTCGTTTAAAAATTGATTTAGTTTCGTGTGTTTGATGAGGTTGGGTTAGTTACTTTGCTTTTCTAATCAGTAACTTCGGTTGGAAATTTGTTTAGCTGGTTGAGCATTTTAGGCATGACGAATAAAAAAATACAGCAAATTATTAATGAGTAGAAGCAACTTCGACCCAGAAGTTATAAATGGTGAATGGTTATGAGAGGATAATTCTGATCGTAATGGAGGCGACATCTGTGTGACGCTCAAGAACGTTCTATGTCAAGTCGAATGAAGCAAGCACAATACAGTGCATGTACAGTGTTTAACGTTGACTTTTTGGGTTCCAGAGAACTGTTCGAAGCGTTCTTTTCGAGGATTTTCGAAGTACAGTACAGATTGTTCGAGTACCGTCGACGAGTTCACTGTCGTCGTCATTTGATTTAACACTATCATCCCGTTAGGCTGGAAATCTGCATAATTCGATTGAGCAGTTAAAACCAGGAAAAAGAAAATCATTGTTGGAACAGAGCAGAAGACGACCTTGCTGCTTGTTTCTCGGGTCTAATGAAGTCGTAATTGAACAAGGTCGAGCAGTGATAAGGAATCGAATAAGAGTGGAAGCGAAGTTCAATCTCACCCCGAACGCCAAAAGCGCCGCGGTTCAGTCTCGACTGTTTCCGTTGATCGAACCGCGCTTTTGATGACCGCGATTCAAGATGGATTTTCAAGCTTATTTTCGTTTGGGGGAAATTGAACTGGCAAAAGTAGAGTTTTATAAAATCAACGTACAGTACCATATCTCGACATTCATTTCAAGTAATGCTCGAATTCGAAACGCAAACATACTGAACTTGATAAACCACTTCATCACTATTATGACAAATTATTTTCATATACTGTACTGTACAGAAATAAAGAAAAATTATCTGACAATCTCCGCAATGCGATACGCGACATCATATACTATATGAAACCTGCTGTTCGCATAACAAGGTTTCGGGTAGTGAGATTGTAGGGCAGGATATCAAGAATTTTTGCAGTCTAATAGGGAAGAATATATCGGTAAAACTTTTCCCATTGCCGTTTCATAAACGATTCGTAAAGAATTCATTATGGTAGTCACGTTAGAAACGGCAATTTAGTGACACCTAGTATCAACTTGACGCATCTAGCGTCGTAAAAATAAGTAGGTGTCACTGCATGTCTCAACCTTCGACACGTTTTCAATTTCGAATGGATCTGGCATTTCGTGCACACTCACTCGGATCACAGACACCTCGAAGCAAATCCTGAGCTGTTCCTCTTGCAGTTGCAAGCAACTCCGCAGTTGAAATGTGACACGTTGGAGGTTGAATCTAGAGTTGAATAAAGAACCATAAATGCATATACCGCTCCGTGAATATTTGAAAATGAAGAATATAGAAAAGATGTTCACCTGGTACTTGGAGTCGAACTCTTGACTCGGGATGTAATCGTGGTCATGCATCGGTTCGCCGATCACAGACGACGAAAACAATAGAATCATTAGAACACCGAATAACGCTTTTTTCGGCATGATTCGCCTTTTTTTCCGATAAATTTCTTGAAATTCTCAAGAAAGAAAAAACAGCTTCAGCCTCACGAATGAAATCAATTCAAAAGGAAGGCATACGGTATCATGAAAAGTTTAAGTCGATGAAAGCATTTGTGTTCTTGAAATTATTGAAACCAAGCACACAATTTTTCCATTGCACAAATATTATTTCGATTCTGAGTTATTCAAAATGATACGCATATCCTTTATATACGCACTGAGTTACATATGTACGAGTCTAAAAAAGACAGAATGAATTTGAAATCAGCTTTACTTATCATTAAACAGCTTCAAAGTTTGTCAGACAACCTTTTCAAATTCGACGGACCGTTCCTTTGCCAACTGAGATTTGATCATGCAATATTATTTGCACTCAGGTGAAATGAGAAATGCTTCTACTGTATATTATTCTATGCTTGTATATTCACGCAAATTTGCGTGAATATACACACTCAGTTTTGATTTGGTCAGCACAGCACATTTTTGTACCAGAAAACTTCTTTACAAGGCGTTCATAACAATTTTATTTCAGGAATTCCAAAATTTGATTATTGCATTCGGCGCAGAAATCAGCAGGAACGCTTCCAACGTACAAGAATAATGGAGCGAAAAAATATGCATATATTGTGCATGATTGAAACATGAATGTAAAATAACCTTCAATAAAACGTCATACTGTTTTTGAATTTGCGAAGGCAAGTAATGAATGATTTCTTGAAAAGATACATTTTTATTTGCACTGAAAGACCTTCTTCGCACACCGTGTTATTCTTCCTATACTTTCGAAGTTCTTCTTAAATTGGCACCCGGCCGATGCAATTCGAAATGAACTGCTTGAAAGTCTCCTACTCAAAACTTCCCTTACGGAAAATCAGATAATTATCAGATTTCGTTAACTATTTTTTCCCGATGCTTATATTTCGGTAAGCGTTAGTAAAGTAGCTGAATCTTTATCACCTTATATAAAGGTATACAAAATGTGCGCATCTACATTCAGGAGAGTCAATTCGGCTGAAAATTTAGGTGATACTGATTTCAGAAATCAGTGAATTTAGCAAAAGCCTGAGTTCTGCACGATCGGCATCAAATAAATCAGCACTGCATCAGGCATCACTACCACGACGAATCTCGGTTTTTCAAAAAATTCCATTTCAAGATGCACAAACGTTTTTGCTCTAGACGCTGAAAGGACTGTGTTCCGCATTTGATTATGTCACTAAAGAATGCATGATCACCACAAATTCTGGGATTGATTCATACTTCAATCAACATTATAAAACGGATAAAAATCGCTCCCGTTAAATTCATGGATTTTGAATGTTCGGGGTTTTCTTAAATGGCAAAAAAAGAGAGAATGCTTGGGTAAAAATGTCGATCATCGCCGATGAGGATGATTTCAATTTTCGCGTCACACGTGCACTTTCAATTAGCTTTCGGAACACATAGTGTCATTCCACATTGAATGAATTCGTAAACTTCATTCAAGCAACAGCACTGTTGTACATATCAGACTATTTCACTATACAGACTACACCATCGTAAGCCAGAAAGGCAACTGCGGAAAAAACTGTTGGGAAANGGATCTGGCATTTCGTGCACACTCACTCGGATCACAGACACCTCGAAGCAAATCCTGAGCTGTTCCTCTTGCAGTTGCAAGCAACTCCGCAGTTGAAATGTGACACGTTGGAGGTTGAATCTAGAGTTGAATAAATAACCATAAATGCATATATATCCGTGAATATTTGAAAATGAACAATGTAGAAAAGATGTTCACCTGGTACTTGGAGTCGAACTCTTGACTCGGGATGTAATCGTGGTCATGCATCGGTTCGCCGATTACGGACGACGAAAACAATAGAATCATTAGAACACCGAATAACGCCGTTTTCGGCATGATTCGCCTTTTTTCCGATAAATTTCTTGAAATTCTCAAGAAAGAAAAAACAGCTTCAGCCTCACGAATGAAATCAATTCAAAAGGAAGGCATACCGTATCATGAAAAGATTAAGTCGATGAAAGCATTTGTGTTCTTGAAATTATTGAAACCAAGCACACAAATTTTTCTATTGCACAAATATTATTTCGATTCTGAGTTATTCAAAATGATACGCATATCCTTTATACGCACCGAGTTACATATATGTACGAGTTTTAAAGACAGAATGAATTTGAAATCAGCTTTACTTATCATTAAACAGCTTCAAATTTTGTCAGACAGCCTTTTCAAATTCGACGAAACGTTCCTTTGCCGAATGAGATTTGATCATGCAATATTATTTGCACTCAGGTGAAATGAGAAATGCTTCTATATTATTCTATATGCTTGTATATTCACTCAAATTTGCGTGAATATACACACTCAGTTTTGAATTGGTCAACACAGCACATTTTTGCACCAAAAAACTTCTTTACAAGGCGTTCATAACAATTTTATTTCAGGAATTCCAAAATTTGATCATTGCATTCGGCGCAGAAATCAGCAGGAACGCTTCCAACGTACAAGAATAATGGAGTGAAAAAATATACATATATTGTGCCAAGATTGAAACATGAATGTAAAATAAACTTCAATAAAACGTCATACTGTTTTTGAATTTGCGAAGGCAAGTAATGAATGATTTCTTGAAAAGATACATTTTTATTTGCACTGAAAGACCTTCTTCGCACACCGTGTTATTCTTCCTATACTTTCGAAGTTCTTCTTAAATTGGCACCCAATTCGATGCAATTCGAAATAAACTGCTTGAAAGTCTCCCACTCAAAACTTCCCTTGCGGAAAATCAGATAATTATCAGATTTAGTTAACTATTTTCTCCCGATGTTTATATTTTGGTAAGCGTTAGTAAAGTAGCTGAATCTTTATCACCTTATATAAAGGTATACAAAATGTGCGCATCTACATTCAGGAGAGTCAATTCGGCTGAAAATTTAGGTGATATTGATTTCAGAAATCAGTGAATTTAGCAAAAGCCTGAGTTCTGCACGATCGGCATCAAATAAATCAGCACTGCATCAGGCATCACTACCACGACGAATCTCGGTTGTTCAAAAAATTCCATTTCAAGATGCACAAACGTTTTTGCTCTAGACGCTGAAAGGACTGTGTTCCGCATTTGATTATGTCACTGAAGAATGCATGATCACCACAAATTCTGGGATTGATTCATACTTCAATCAACATTATAAAACGGATCAAAATCGCTCTCGTGAAATTCATGAATTTTGAATGTTCGGGGTTTTCTTAAATGGCAAAAAACCAGAGATTGCGTGCGTAAAAATTACGATCATCGCCGATGAGGATGATTTCAATTTTCGCGTCACACGTGCAGCACTTTCAAATAGCTTTTGAAAAACCCAGTGTTCTTCCACATTGAATGAATTCGTAAACTTCATTCAAGCAACAGCACTGTTGTACATATCAGACTATTTCACTATACAGACTACACCATCGTAAGCCAGAAAGGCAACTGCGGAAAAAACTGTTGGGAAAACTTGAGGCTGCTTATATTTATCCGTGAGCTAGTATATATATATATATATATATATTTAGAGCGCGTGTGGTTTTCTTTTTGGGGTGCGCGCATGCGAAAGATCCCAAGGGGGGTTCCTGACTGACGACAGAAACAAGAAGAAGGTTCGAGAAATAAGGATCCATCTTTCTTTTTTTTCGTCGTGCAACACACGGAATGGCAGAGAGTCAATCGCTGACTTGACAACCACCGCATTCCTGAGCCGAGTTCCGTGGCGACACTCGACTGACGCCGTCGGGGCGAAACCGAAGCCGATACCCTAATTCGAAGTTTTCTTCTTGGTGTCATTACATGATTTATTCTCATTTTCAAATGCAAATTTTCGTTTCTTTTATGTACAGTATCTCTCAAAGAGAAATCATCCTCAGTATGACCGTGAGTAGCAGAAACGCTCAAAAAAGGAGACGTTCAAGTTCCATTCTCCGAATCGTAGTTTTTTGTTTTCATTTTCTGAGACAATTGAAAATAAAAGTATAGTATCTATAGTATTTTATTGCAACCCCTTGGGCGGCGCTATGCCGGGATTTATTGGCACAATTTTGAGCCACTGGTAAAATAAAAAAGGAAATACCTAGCATGATGTCAAGAGCCGAAGTCAGGAAAAATCCCGATATTTTTTTCATTCCTACAGAAAATTGTTGTTGAGAATAAAAAAATCATTTACTGCCCAGTGGCATTTTTTCTGCATATATTCCAGCGATAGGATTGGCGTGAGGGATTTTGAAGTCAATGGTTTCTCCTCTCCAGGATTTTTCCCAGCCAAAGCTTCGTTTTGGTGACCTTTGGTCAGACCAAAATGCACAAGTGTGCAAAAATTTTGCAGCTCCACCGCATGATCGAAATTGACCTGCCACCACCCAAAGGGTTAAATATACAGTATTTGAATGCGTAATCAGGCCAAATAATTACGGAAAAAGTGACAGGAATTCAGAAAAACACTATAGACAATCAGGAATAATCAATTGAGTCTGATGTTTTCAAAGGATATTTCCAATCAATTTCGAAATCAAATCATTCCAATCAAAAATTTCGGAACCCCACTATGAACCTCACGATGACGAGTTCTTTCGATTCCGCATACAAGTTTTAAAATGACACAATACAGCACACACTGACTTTTGAATTCTTGGTGTACGTCGAGTGGGGCTCTTTTGAGTCACACAAACAGATGCGGATGTTGGAGGTCGATTTCAATGCATTCGAACAAAAGTACGCGCCTATCGGTGTACGAATCTTGCAGCCAGATGGTCTATTTTACCCCAGGGTCTACCAATGTTGTTGTTTTTTTTTTAAAGCAAATTCTAGGGGTCTTCTGCAAAATTACGTCCATTCATCCTCAGAAACGGGTAATCTACATCGTTTGCCAACTTCAAATCCTCCTGCAGTTCAGCGCCAAAATATGACGCATAAAAATACGAGGTAATGCACCGCATCGAAATTTTAATATTCAAGCCAACCACGAACTGTCAGCGAAATTTTTCTTTGTTGAATAATAATTTTGCGGTGATACGAAATGAAGCGTATTCGAAGACATTTCCCCAGTTTTAAGTTATAAATGCGTTGATAAATGCGTTGTTTTGTACAATATTTATTCTTCGTGGTATGCTGCCAATAAGCAATTGACCTAAATACCCCACCTTCGAGTGTTAAAAGCGACTCTTTGAGTCAATTGATTGATTAAAGCTTAGTAAATACTGCTAATAAATAAAATTTAGTTGATTCATTTAAATCATTTGTAGTTCAGCGTGGTCTTCAATATTTTTTTGATAATTTTGAAAACACTGTTTCTATATAGCACAAAACGGGAAACTATGAGTTTAACCGACAATTGACAAAAATTTTTGACGAACGTAGGATCGTGCGAGGGTTAGTTCATAAGTTTTCTCATTTATGTGCTTTCGTTGTTGAGTTTTATTGGATGGCTGATGGAGATGGATATAATTTTTACAGCGCATTATTCGTTCATTTCCTGAACAGGATTTAAAATATTTTGCGCGACCAAAGTTAAATGAAAAAAGGCCGAAAAAATAATATACTGTACATTCTATGCTTAAAATAAAATAATCGTCGATATCTGACACGCTCATATATGTTATGACTTATGACTTTTCAGGAAGTCTAGGAGTCAACAAATATTTTCAATGATTCATTTAAATTCATTGCAACAATGCCGAAGATTTGATACACAGTCTTCAGTTAAAATCTTTTAAAGCATCTCGGTTCATTTTTTTTAAATTACTGATGCAGGATGCCAATGTTGCTCTGTACATTTCTAAGCACAAATGTTTTTTTCTGAAAATTTAAATTGATTCATTCAAGTGGTGTTTTCAATTTTTTAGTAGATATAGGAGATGATAAAACTCAATTTTTTCACCCTAGGAGATTCACGAGCGGGAATTTTATTTTTATTTATTTGCAAAAACTTTAAAAGCACCCCTGGTCTACTGCAGCTGTTTTCCTTTAGCTGAATCTTATTGATTTATTCATCCGTCTCTGTGGGAAAAAGCGAACCCCCTTTTCAAGGTCTGATTTTGCTGAACCTTCCCGGCTCGTAACCCGAAACTTCGGGACAGCATGTCTACCCTCGGTCCATCATTCAATGCCTGGGAAACTTTTCCAGAACAAAACATTGCAAAATAAATCAGCAAGTAAAGGAAGAAGCTCTGATGGGAAGGATGCTGCGTTTTTTTTTTCTTTCGAGCGAATCGCGAACCGAATTCTTTTGTCTCTGTAATTTTTACCGAGAAAAAGGCTCCCGTTATTCCGCAAGTATGAATACCCTAAGCATACATTTTTTTGAAAGTCTCTTATTCTCTCTATTGCCCATTTGCGCAGCTTTCAGCACGCTGCTAATGATGGACAACGAACATGACTGAACCAGCGGAAATCGGAACCCAGATGCAGTGGAAGAAAAGCCCTGCAGGTCTTTCAACATTCATCCCATCCGCATGGGTTCATCCTGGAAAAAGTCGCTCGCATGGATGACCTAATTGCGAAGAAGTCTCAGTGCAGCTGCAAAAACTCGAAAAAAGGAAAGAGAAAATACAAAAAACTGTTGCTCGGGAAAGTTTTGTTTACGGCTTTGGGTGTAAAAGAGGAAAAGTTTATCCCGTCCGTGAGTGGGTGTCTTTTAAATTACTGTATTTAAAACATCTGCAAATGGTTAAAGTCATCGCGATTATTTGCTCCTCTGAGATTCGCAAAATTTTGGCTGAAATGGCGCCCGTGACAAGCAAAGGTTGACCATATTAAGAAATACAGCCAACCCACATGCCAAACTTAAATTGTGCAACAGACTAGTATGTTGTGTTAAAAGTCTGTTGTGCAAATTCAATTATAAAAATAAATTTAAAATATTAATACATTATTTACCATAATTTTAAGAAGTCTGTTAGGCGGTGCGGATTTAGTCCATTGCATGAGAGGTAAAACCACCTCCAGAGGCAATCTGTTGTGCAAAAAGCTGTTGGGCAGGAGGTCCATTGTATGGGGGTAAACTGTGATGCACAAAACAGTTGTGTGTGTATTTCATGTCATAAAACTGTGAATGAAAGATACTGCAAGATTGATCCTCAATAACTGGAACCTTCCGATTTTCTACGTCAATTTTTTTCAAATCACGGTCTGTATTCCCTTGAAAACAGTGCATGAAAAAACTCCCGGATTAGAAAGCGTTTTTTCTCAAGCCTCCATGACCCGAATTTTCAGGAGCTAGTCTTTCAGATATGTTTTTATTGACACAGGATAAGAGAAAAGCAATAAAATGTAATGACGTGTTTTGAATGGAAGTGAAAGAATAATTGAGCAGATGATCTAATGCTTCCACGTTTAGCATCATGTCGACTAATTCCTGAAGCAATTTAAGGTCCAGAATATCCCCGATTCAAATTTCCAGCTATTCTTCTTTCGTCGTTTCTCAAACAAAAAATGCTTTCTTCCCTAGCTTGAACGGGAATATAGGGATTTGACAACACTGATGTCCGATTCTTCCCGTCCAGAAGACACCATCAGTTTTTTCGAAGCCAGACCTTCGGGATAAAATTGCAGTGCAAGAAAAATGTTGAGAGGATTTCATGAGGTGGTCATGAGAAAAAAATATTATGCAGAACTTTCATTTGTGAATATTGAGTTCAATCTCAATCGAACACAGAAAAATAATACTCATTTATTATATCCATTCGAATAAAAGCTACAAATCACGATAAATGTACTTAAACGGGGATTGAGGATTTATTTTACTTGAACAGTCTCGATAGAATATTCGGGATTACAGTACGTATTCCATTTGCAAATCTTTATGAGCGACGCTACGCTAAATTTAATGCCCTGCGAAGTTTTTTTTTTAAATCCAAAAACATGAGCGTGGCTGAAATAAATTTTAGAGCATGGTGGAAATTGGTTTGTATAATAATCCGGCAATGGACAAAATATTGTATCTAACTACTGTATTTGATACCATGAGCTTTCTTTTTATCAATTTTTCAAAAAGTTATTGGAGAGTTAAGCCTACACGAAAATGTAACAATCGTTTTGGATTTCAAGCGTTTTTCTCTCTGAAAAATAACCCTGAGCTCGGAATGGCTGCTGTGCCTCTCATTAAAAAAAGAAAGCAGAAAGGATAGAAGTAAAACGATAATGATTGGACACAAACAGGGATGTGAAAAACTGGACAAAATCTTCATTCGCTAGATTCAGATCGACTTGTACACAAAAAAACAAGAAAGAAACTTCAACGCGCAACAGAAAACGTAGGAGCCGTATTATTCGTGTCATTCATGCAACACACCGAGCCACAACCGACTTGAAAAGGAAAAACAGGAAAACGAATCGGAATTTCCAACACTTTCTTGGCTTTGATTACCGATTTCATATAAATGCTGCTTTTTTTTCCGACGTCCGACAGCTATGATTAAAGCAACAAGCAGAAGCTCACATCGAGGTCTGTTCCAGCCCGACACTTGTGTTTTTTTTTTTACAGCTCAGATGAAAATGACACCGAGGTATTGCACCTTCTTTAACAATTTCTCTCTAAAAGAAATGAGGGAAATGTTTCCGACGCTATGAAAAAATGCAAGTTTTGAGCATCGGGGTCGTGTTGATTTCCTGTTTGAACACTCGCTCGTCTATTCGCAGCTCGCCAAAAGGAAAAAAAAATTCTGACTAACATTCTCTCCGTTTCGTGTCTTCTTTTTTCCGCAAAGAAAGAGAGATATTTTAAGCAAATTAAAATTCAAAAACATTCACCGCTTCACTATCCCCGCGGAAACACGGACGAAAATGCTTTCCCATTCACGCAGATTTATTCCCTCAATGAAAAGCTAATTGCGCTAAATGAACACCTCTTCTGGGAAAAGATTGTAGCCGTAGATTCATGAGCAGGTTTTCTTTTCTTTTCTGAAGCTTTGCCTGGGAAACTATTTTCTTTGCTGCACAAATTTTGCAATGTTTTGGCAACTTTGTCTCTCTTTGAGCGGCCGTTTGCAGAGCTTTTTTTTTGACAAACTCGTCAACATTTGGTTCTTTTTGCTTCTTAGAAAAAAAAAGCATGAAGGGTGAGGAATCACGTACTTTGTTTCGTCGTTGCTGCAATTTTTTTTTTCGTTTCTGGCACGAGCAAGGTTTAACGCAAACCAAGTCGTCCAACGGATTACCTTTGAAGCACATTGGGTTGGTTTTCTTCTCGCAGATAATGAGCATTCATTCACGTTACAACGGCAGCCATTCGATCCTTTCTGAGTCTTAAATGTACCAAACATCTTTTTTCTTTCCCATTCAAACTTCTGAAAATTCAACAGGAAAAGAAATGCGTTCCCGCTCTTATCGGGGTAGACATAAATTTCCCTCCGCGACAAAAGAATTTCTGAAAAAAAATGAAAAAAGGGTTTCCTCGGTTCACTAATCTACTAATTTTCTCCGCCATATCTTCGACATTGTGGAAATGTTTTTCGCGTTCTTCTTTGTACTTCGGAATTACTCTTTTTTTTCTTTCTCGGGAATAGAGGGAAGAATATTTGGCGAGTATCTAAGTCCAGGTCTCAGTTCGCGTAGTCTTCCGCTGAACACATCCTTATACGCTTGGTCACCTTCCAAAAGTTGAAATTTCAGTAAAAATGAAAAAAGGAAGCCTGGTCTAGCATGCCTACAATTTCTTGCCTCTAATGCAGAACAAGCTTCGTTCGCGTTTACTAAAAAAAAAAAAGGAGCTCGTTGACTAGACACTTGGTTTTCTATTTCCTATACATGGAAACAGGTTGGAGAAGGTCAGTTTTTGATCCTGGCAGTGATTGACATTTTTCTTCCCGCCAAGCGGTTGACGATGTTGACGTGCGATATTTCCTGCGGAATTTATTCTGGCAGAGTTCTGTACGAGTTCCTCCAGATTTCTGCGAGAATTGCTGCCCCGTGGAATCGGTGGAAAATGCAAAGCGGCAGAACCAGTTTCAGGATGACTGTCCACGTCAGATATCCATAGAAGTTCAGCTTGAAATGGAAAAAGAAACAGCAAAATCAGTACATTTCACCAAATAGTAATAAAAAATATGTCTTCCAAACTGCGTGATTTATAATAAGTTACGGTAAAGTAAAAAGTATATACTTTACTATGGGGCTTTTCAACAGTAGTAGTGTCTTCTAAATTCGACGACTTCCTCTTTCACGTCAAATATCAATAATATATGTTTTGAATTATGTCAATATTTCATTTGAACGTACTCGTAGCGTTTCTATGATCAGCACGGAGACCAAAAAATGAAAAGAGTCCATCGATGTGAACATCTATACACATTCAGACATTTTTCATTCTTTGACGGGAAATTGAACATCGGGATGCAAAAGTAAAAGTCCGGAATGTGATGTGGGATAATAACGGCTGAATCCATTTTTTTTCTTCATTTATTCTCATTTTCTTTCGTGGAATCCAGTCAGACACAAATGAAGACTACCTGCACAGGCAGACGGTCGACCTTCTGCGCCTCGACGATGTAGATGGCGAACATGGCAAGGTTGGTGAGGAGAAGGAAAGTGATCAATTGTCTCCCAGGCTTCGTCTCATTCAGCGTTTGTTTGTGGATGGCCCTCTTGTTGGCGTCCAGCACAAACGGCGCCTGGAACGCGATTTCCAGCACAGTGAGAGCAGCAGTGACGAGCACGAGTAATGTTGGCACGTCCAGGGCTGGGTTCAGGAATCGCAAAGCAGCTGCAATGATCGTCACTGTCGCGTAGAGAAGCACTGCGAACCCCGACACCCGCAGCAGCAGAACGTTCAGCAAATCCTCCTTGTGCGGGTCGAATTTCAGCTTCTTCACTCTGTGGACAAGGTGCAAATATTGAGTTAAAACAGGTCGAATATCATTATGTACTGGGACCCTAATTTGAATTTGTATTCTTTACTCGGCGAGTTATGCCCTGATTTATATTCGCTTGCGGCGGTCTTAAACAATTTTTCAAAATTAATTTAAATGCACATATTCATTTCTGAAATTTGAGCCAAACTTCTTTCAACCCACTTTTTTTTAGAAGACATCATAATGTATGAAGAAAAATAAAAACATATGTCATTTTTTTGCATTAAAGCGGCAAAGTTGAACTCGTTGAAAAATTCTCCGCCACAGTTTCATATCGGAGTAATTTTACTTTTCGGTGATATTTTTGACACTGCTGCGATTGGAGCAAATTAATTAATTATTTTTCTCACTGTATTTTTCATCAGCAATTTTAACTAAGGAAAAGAAAAGGGTCACGAGTAAGCAGCAATTTCTTACAGGTTAGCTAAGATCCATAAGCAAAAATCAATAACAAAATGACCACGAATTTACTTGTGTGCAGGAAAACAATTCGTCGGAAACATCTTTCGAAAGAAGGTTTGATTATTGGATCCAGTAAAACTCGAGAACATTTTCAGTGGCCGCAATAACTGACGTAGTCTCAGAACTTTCAATTTAGAATGAAACAAGGAATTAATCATTCTCAACAGTACCAAGAGCGAATTTTTCTGCCCAAACTTCCAATCAGAAAAAATCCAATCTGTGAATTGCTGCATTGATAGAGATGAAAGCAACGCCACATTCCGCACAATAAATCAATAAATAACATCATGCTCGACTTGTTTTTCCTTCTTGGAAGGAAAATGCGCAGGAGACTGGATCTTCTCAGCTGGAATTTTTATATTGCTCGGAACCTCGCAATTTCCTATCTTACACATCGAAAAAAAAAAACCGGGAAGAAATGGATGACTGCGTCTTTTGGAACACTGGCCCTGCCAGATATGCATTACAGTACAGTACTTAGAAGTGCTAGGCCAACTGGAACCCATCTTGCCCATACTATGCCCCAGCCCTTTACCCGAAAGGTACAGCAGTATCTCCTACAATTATTCCTCTTTTTTTAAATTATGAAGTAACTTGGAAAGAAAGTGACTTGACTATTGGATCATGCAAACTCGGGAAAAGTACCGAACATAGAATAAGAATGAATAGAATAAATACTGTAAACATTTTGAAATTATTATTGAATTTTTTAATTTATGCACACAGTCTCCCTCAGTTCTTTAGTTGATTAAATTATCAAATAACTTCGAAAGACAATCACCTAAAATTGAGCAGTTGAATTCGAGAAAAGGAAATTATGATGCCACAGTAAAAAATGAATACTTTGTTTTGAAATTATTAATGCATATTTTAATTTAAATATACAGTATACACAGTTACATTATAAATTTGCATGCGTTTTCTATTTTGAACATTCAGCTATCAATAAGCTTGACAAACATGGGATCAAATACTTGTCCTACATTCGACAAAAATGGTTTCGGATGAAGTACCGTATTTTATTCGAAATCTGTACAATTCGCCACCAATTATTAGACTCGCTCGGATTTTTGTGTGCTTCGAAAACAAAAATCGTTTTCTTTTGAATTCAAGACGGAATCCTGTGTCAGTAAATTTCCCAAGGATAAGTTTCTTAATTCATGCTTGAATTGGCTCGATATTAAACAGAGGTTTTAATTTCAAACTGGTCCTCGTGATCTTAAAAGGATTCACAGCAATCAGCTGTGAACTTACGGTAAGGCGCTGTCAAATCTGAAGTTGTCCCTGATTTTTGATTGTAAATTTTTAATGAAAAAAACTGTGATTTATAATCAATAACTTGAATAGTGTAATTTTTAAAATTTCGGTCACCAGAGGGCGGAACAAACCTGCAGCATCCGATGAGAACGACGAGCAACGATATCAGTAGCAGCGCGGTATGTGCCGAATCCGCCAGATAGATGGCGTACATTTTCAACTCGGCGTTCTCCAGCAGCACAAAGTAGCAGACGGTTGCAGCAACAGCGCAAAGTACGAGCAGCAACCCGAAAACCAGTCCCTTGCGAGCCCCTGCACAAGCACGTGGCCCACTGGGCCCGTCTTCCTCTTCCGCTTCCGCGTCTCCGTCGGTCTGCACGGGCCCGGTTTGCCTCGGGGGCGGCGGCGCCGCTGCTGGCGCCTGCTGAGGCTCAACGTCGCCGGAGTCTTCCGCCTCGGGGGCGTATCTATGGCAGGTGAGAGTAAAAAACACGGTGAGAAATTAAAATCAATGGGAATCTCAGCAATTTGTGCAGTATTGATTACTTTTGGCATTTCTTTTCCAGAAAAAAAATATTCGGATGAGCGTTAGTGCGACCTGATGTGCTCGACAAAAATCGGAAGAAAAATTATATTCTCAATCCTGGCTCATTTTCAAAGTACAAATATCGGATACATATCCGATACTTAGCTCTTTTATTTCTCTCCCGTGAGCGTTGAAATTTCGCTCTTGTCCTCTCATTCTAAAATTTTAGAACATTTTTTTTATATCATGCGTATTTCCAGTGTTTTGGTCGCATTTTCAACGATAAAAATTATTCTTCAAAATACTGTAGATGAGAAGACTTCCTTATCTCTTCAAATTACTTCCAAAAATTCCGGTGGGGGCAAAAAAATGCAGAAATGCGATATACTTTTCTGCGTGATTTCCCCCGAGATAAGATTTAGGCTTGTGTTCAGGAGTTCTTTTCTGTAACTTCCCCCGATGAACTCTCGTTGAATGGAAGGAGATGGACATAATTTTTCTCGGGTAACTTCTGCATGATGGTGACTTCCTGAAAACTTTTAAAATGGTTTCTCACACGAACCGAAGTGAACGGAAGAAAAAAGTTGGAATGCATTCCTTCACGACGAGGAAATGAGATCCAACAAATACACCTGCGTAACTTTTAAAATTATTTGATAACAAGAACATATTTAAAATAATTGGAACATCCTCCCAATGGCAATGTCGTCCATATGGAAATAAAATGTTCAAATGAAAACGTGTCTCGGTAATTTTTGTTTTACTACGGCAATTATCAAAGTACCCGTAAATTCAAATTTACCACGGGAAAGCTTCAAAATTATTTTCTTAAAAATCATTCGCACAATGCATAAATTATTTCATTAAAATTCCTGTAGAGTCATTCGTACGTAATCAATACTTCTTCCTCAGAATATTTCAAAGTCTTTCTCAGATCTGCTTAATAATGTCACAGCCAAGAAGAATCCACAAAACATTCCTCACATCCTTCCAAAACTTGAAATGCTATTTACTATGATACTGTAATTCTTTATTCGTTCAGTATTTTCAATCACGTGAGCTTCGCATAAACAATTCCGGCATATTTATTTTCCAATCAATTAATCCGGAAATTTGTTTTCAAAAGTTGCTCAACCCTTAAAAATTGCACGTGATTGTGAGTAATGCAATTGACCAATTTGAGTGTGAAACATTTTCCTCTGAAAGTGAGGAATTTTGAATATAAAAAATCGTCCAGTTGAGGCCCAAAGGACTCTAAAATACGAACCTTGGCCAAAAAGAATGAACAGTACTGTATCTATGTGACCCTTGGCCACATCTGAGTCGGACAGAACCGCTTTGAATGATTGATGACAAATTTTTTTCCCCGATGAATGGAACATGAAACATGGTCTCACTTGGGATAGCGACCGACGTCCAGCCAGATGACGAATAGCACAACAGCAGCGACGAAGCTGTATTGAACCACGACCGGGTACAGGTACGGGGCAGTGTCGTCCCTCAGGGTGCCCAAGATACTCAGTCTTTCGCAAACAGTCCCGTTAATCAGTCCATCATCATTGTTGTTGATTATTCCGGCAGATTCCTGACCGTTCCCGTCGTCTCCGTAGGGGCTGTTGTCCGAGTCACTGTCTGGGCTTTGGCGGCTGGTCGATATAGCTGACAAATTCACGCGATCTGAATAAAAAAAGAAAAAGAGAATGGCACTTGAAATTATCAAAGAGTCATGAAAATTTTCATCCTAGGGAATAATACGGATTTGTCTTGGTTTCCCGCACAGTTTTAATGTCCTGTCAAGTTTCGGCCGACTTGGATATGAGAATATTCTACTGAATAGTACTGTTCCCTGTAAGAGAATTTTATCATTTTGGGCATCACAATTCTTGGAAGTCTCAAAATTTTTTTATTTCAAAAATAAATTCGTCAGGCTCGTTAAGCATCAATGCTACCCCCATATGGAACCCCATTTCATTGAATTCCACCGCATAATTTTATCGTAATGCATGTGATAAATCCAATTGTTCAGAAAATATAGCTTAAAATTTCTTAAATTTTTGCTACATCTTCGATAAAATAATATACGGTTTACACACAACAGATCTATTTTAGAAACGAAGAAAATGATCAGCTAGAAAAATAAATGACACCAGTCGAACGGGGACAACTTGAACCTCGCAAAGTCCAATTTTCTGAGGGCTTTTGGCTATCATTTTCTTGAAACAGGAAAGATAAAAGTAATAAAATAAATGAATTTATGTGTTTTTAAAGGAAATTAAAAAACTGAATTGGGCAAATGAACCCCTGCTTTCAAGTTCAGCATATCCTGTAAACACATTCAGGAAGCGCAATTCAAGGCACAGAATTTACTGTTTACAATTCTGTGGATTTCTTTCTGTGTTTCCAATAACAGAAATGCTTGGTTCCTTAACTAAAACCTTTAGAACTCAAAACCTCCCCGAGCAGTCAGATTTTTTGCTAGTCCCTTTAAATTCGATTCAAAGAGGAATACTGCACTTAACCCTTGTGCAGCAAAGTTGGGATATTTTTGCCTAATGTTTTGCTCAAGAGCACTGCGAATTTTTTTTTTTACCAAGGGCCAAGTTGGGAAAAATTCAATATTTTTTTAGTCCTGCAGAAAATTTTGCCCAAAAAATTCCTTACTGGGTGGCATTTTTTATGCATTCCTAGCATAGGATTAATATTGGGAATTCCTGAATAGAATAAAAAATTGTCCTCCAGGAGTTTTCCCAACTTGGGCCTCCACAACTTGGAAATATTTCAGTGACCTTACATCAAACTGAAATGCACCACCTGCCAAAAAAGTCCACTGCTCAATGGAAAGGAACCCTCTGCCATCTGATGGTTAAGACACAAGAGGAAAAACATTACCTGGAAACTATTCAGAAGAAATATTAGAGGGATTAGTGTAATCCAGCTTCATCCTGCTCATGTGTATTTTTTGGTGGCGTCTAAAAATACAGTACAGCATATACATTTCTAGGTGAAGTATGAGTGAAAAATAAAGAGGAAAAGAAAGACTTACTGAGGATCATCTGGTCTTCAGAAGGTCCACCGGAGTGTTTGACATAGTATCTGGTGAAGTCTTTCAGACCTTCCCTCGCGATGGTCCTCATCCAAACGCAAACATTTGCAGCTATCAGGTGCATGAGACCCAGTCGAGCCACGACCTTGAACTTGCTGATGTTCAACTGTCTCCCCCAGGGGGGAAAGAAAGGAAAAAAATATTATACCATACAGCGAAACAACGTCACGACGTCACACGCTTGCACATGGAACCCAGATGTTGACCCTTGTTCACAAAAAAACCTACAAGACCCTTCTCGTTTTACGACATCTTTTATACAGATACTAAGACACTCCGGTTCACCACGTTTCTTTCTCGAGGAGACAGAGAAAGAGAATTGGGTCTAGGTTTTTGTTTCTAATGATTTGAAAAATGAGAGCAAAATAACGAGAGAGAAAAAAAAACGCAGACACGGGAGCTTGACAACTTAAACTGAGAGGATTGCCACGAAGTTGTGACAGGAACAGTTCACGGGAGGTCGAATTACGTTTTTTTTTTTTTTTTTGCCCGTTGGAAGAATGTCGGGAACATGTGAGCCGGGAGTTCCGCTTCCCAGCTGTTGATGGATGGAAAGAACTTTTAATTCTTTCCGCTTAAATATTCATTCATGTTCCTCGAGGAACTGAAGTGGCAGCTCGATTTCATTTCTCGCCGTCATCTGAACTTTTTTTTTTTAATCTCTCTTATTTTTTCGTGGGAAGTTTAACTGATGGTTTCTGTCAACGAGGTGTTGAAAAATTCATCATAAACCATGTCAGGAATAAACCCAACAGATAAAGATTTAGGAAGGAAACCTTATTTTGAGAAGAAATTGAGTGAGTAGGTTTGAATAAAACACAGAAATTTGGTCGGGCTGCGACCGGGGTGAGAACACCCTATTATAAGGTTGATATATTCAGGTAAAAATAGCAATTGACACTCAAGTGAATTCGCTCGCGAAGTTTTGGATGAACCGCACGCTCGAGAGGTAGAA